TTTGTTGTTCACTGAATTGGAGGCTGGTTTATCAGGTCGAGAGGTTATGTGGATGGATAGTCATTGCCCATACATATATAATCTGATTAAAAGAACAGTCCCTGCCAATGTGTGCTTTATTAGGTGCGTCATTTGTTGGATAATACAGTTTTATATGCGGGATACACAACCCCATGTGTCCGACAAGCGTGCTGATGTGTACGTGAGCTTCTCTGTTTCGTCCAGAAGTAGGAAAGGGCCCAAGTTGAACTTATGTTCGGAATCCTGAAATTTTTAAAATATTAAATTATACATCTGTGGATTTAAGAAGACGAAGAACTGGAGGTGACTGTCTTCTGGGATGTTGCACTGTACAGTCTAGTGGTCTCGTGTTTTACGAGACTATACGATGCAACATCCCGGAGGACAGACATCTTTATTTTCGTCGCCATAAGAGTCTGAAATCTCATCAAATTTAAGAACTAAATACAGTCGTCTTGGCTATTACACTGAGTATAATATTATCATAAATAAAGCTAATGGTTTTATTATTTTACCTTCGCCATTGAGGTAGTAGGCATAAAATTATATATCTATTGAATTACTTAACGTTCTTTGAAGCACGAAGCTCATTTAAACAATATTTAAGAATTCAGTCCGAACCGCAAAGAAAACACAACACTTCACCGTTACAAAAATTAATTTCTTAACGCTGTTATTTTTTTTCATTATGAGAATCAAACGGAACTCATGCTGTATGTGGGCAAAGTGTAGAATTATCGGATGTTAAAATGGGTTGTGCATTCATGCACGTAGCCAAACGAAGAAACTAACTTTCATTAAAGAATAATGTATGTTACAAATTCTGTCGGTTTCCTTATACTGCTGTAGGTCCGAAGCGTCAGAATTTATACTCAGAATATAAAAGTAAATGTTCACAGAGTTTGTTGGTTGATTCTCAGGATGTTTAACGACGTTGCATCAACTAGACATGCTGATATCGTGAATGATCTGAGAGGATGAATATGAGCTTAAAGGGAATCAGGCGTGTGCTTCAAGGTATTATTGCAGCATTTGTTTGGAGGACCTGAGAACAACCACGAAACAGATTAGTCAGGATAAGTGTATCCGAACGACATTCGATCGCGGAACCATTGGCTATTAATATGAATAAAATTCAGTGTAGACAGAATGGAACTTCAAGCGATATATTTGTGAATAATTTTATTCCTCTGTTAAACCCTATGTATTCATGATTTATAGTCTATTACCTGATTTACCTGCAGCGGAATTTTGTTAGTCACCGGAGCCAACAGCTGTTAATTACTTATTTCGACGTGATTTTTCTGTGCATGACTTATCCGCACTAAACAAAATACGTGCTGACACCGTGTGGAAGTGAGCTATTTTGCCGACGTTTCAGATGTACATACGTCAGGGTTTGTATTAAAGATGATGGCAGTATGTTCCTCTGAAACGTCGGCAACGCAGCTCGCTTCCACACTGTACCAGCACTCGAAAGCAAGATCAAAACTAAACGTAATTCACCGTGGAAGACTTAAAATCAGTTATTAGGCCTACTGTTTTCTGAGGCGTTGTCGTGGACATATTCTGTGTTAAGGAAATGCAGCTGTGGACTGCAATATGCTGATACTTACTATTGGGATGCGTTTTCCCAGTAATGCAAGATAAGCGAGTACAGCTGAAAAAGGAGAAAATGACAATGAATTAGCTTATTTCCCAGTAGTTACGGTCATGAGGATGGCCGTCTTCATGGCTGCTGTGTCATGTAGTATGGCAGAAGTTCACCGGTGTTTCGCAGGTACTTGCTGCCTCCATCATCAGGGCGATCGGTGAACTTCTACCAGACTACGCGGCGAAACATCTCATAAGACAGCCGTTTTCATATTCGTCGCCTTAAGAACCTGAAATTTCACATAGGCTTGGTTGGGCCTGTTATGTAGGGGGCGGAAGAAGAAGAAGAAATCTTACCTCTGGATTTTCTTTGTGGTAGCACTTATGCACCTGATAGGCCTTGTCACAGGGGTCCTTTCCGGCTGAAACAGAAACGAATACGACAATCGAGACAAAGTATAAGCTATCATATAAAGAGGAAATGATGTGACCGATTTAATCATGTTTCACAGCTTGTAATTTGCATCTGTTATCACTGCTTTGACTATGTCGAGGATAATTTGTTGGGTGGGACATGTAGCACGCATTCATACAAATTCATACGCAGTTTTGGCCGGAAAGGGAGCAGATGATTCTCGAAGTAACGGGATTAAGATAAATTTTAGAGAACTTTAAGTGTGGACTGGAATGAAATGGCCCAGGGTAGAATCGAATATCGGGCATTTGTGAAACGGTAACAAATCTTCGGGGTTCTTAAACGGCGGGAAGTTTCCGGTCTATCGGAGTGACTGTCAGTTTAAAGAAACTTCTATAGTAAAAGTCCTTACGTGTTCCATGGCATGTCTTCACTATACGATGGCCCTCTTCCACGATCTCTGGCGGTACGTTCTGCAGTTCTTCATCAACGTTGAAGTCTCCTTCATCGTTGAGCTGTATGGATGGAGATAAGTGTATGGAGATCACTATCATTTCATAGTAACAACTTAGTGAATTCTGTTTCCGTTATTGCTAAGAACCAGGTGTATTATTGCACGGAATTTTTCATCCTTCGTAATAAGTTTATTTATAAAGCTTATGCGTTTTATAGGTATCTTATTAATGTTCCAATATTACTTTTGTCAGTAAATTCATTTCAATTCAATTCATTTATTAGAGTGCTTGGCAACAGCCAAAGAGGCCAATAACAGCCAAGCACTAACAATAAATATATCAATACAAAAACAAACAAACAATGAACTAAATATATAAATGTGCAATATAATAATGATAATATATTAATTCATTAATTTATTACAAAGTAATTAACAGTAAATGAGCTAAATATGCCTAAAAGTGAAACACTAAAATACAAAAACAAACAAATAAACTAATTATATAAATGTACAAATAATTCAACTCATTTATTGCTAATAATCAACAAACAAATGGGCTGAATAATATGCCTAAGTATATAATAATTAAATTAAAAGTAGTAATAATAATAATAACTACAAAAGAAGCAGTAGTGTACTTACAGCCATGAGTTCGACCATGACACATTTAACAAAGCACTGAAAGGGAAAAAATACGTAATTATATTTGTGTTATGAGTACATTTAAAAAAACTATTACTAAGTGCACCAATGCGAATGTATTAAATGTAATTAAGTTTGAATCTCAAGTTAATTAACTAGTGATAATCATTCTTCAGCTGTCATTTTTCTGTCCCTCTGATCTGTCGTAGTTCGGATTTAATCCGTAGACAATTCTTTATAACTTCAGTGGAGTGTTTTGTGGAAGACTATTTGCTTACTATAAATTGGAAAAACGTAAGATAATTGGCTATTGGCTGTTGTGGAACTGAGTTTTCCAAGGTAATCAACGCACTAGAGGACCAAACGTGTTACATATAATTACTTCTTTGTTAACCGTTAATATTTTGAATACGTCGTTTATTGGATCTGTATTGTTATAAGTATTTAACATCCGAATAGAATTAAAATGAAAACGCTAACATACACACAATAATACACGTTCACTCGTATCTGTGTTTGACACTGTGTCACTCATCGCCCTGATGATGGAAGCAGTACGCACCTCTGAAACGTAGGTAAACTACCAAGAGACTACACGGCGGAATGTCCAAGACGAGTGTCATCTTAGTGTAAAGCCTGAAAGTCTTCTGATTACATTGTAAGATACATGTGCAAAAAAGTGGAATTTTTTCTGTCTTAAGCACAATTTGTAGTAATTAACTGTTATGTAGCAATCATACTTAATGTAACATTACCTTGTAATTATCTGGAGGGTCGATTTCATCTATACGAGCCTTAATAAATTTTTCGAAGTAAGCTGTAACAAAAGAAAAAATATTACATATTCCTTCAAAACATTATGGTTACTAAAATATTTTAAAATTTCCTCTTCATCTTTCTTGAGAATTAATTACTTAAAATACAAATTGTTTATTAGGATTCCCTGGACAGGGGATCGGCCCATTGAAGGTCTAAATTCGCACAAAACAAGAGAAAATCACATTAATGCTCGAACCCATGACTCGATCATCATTCAGACTTCCTGTCCCATGTTTGAACGAACCCTAGACTGTGCGACTTTTTTTAAAAGCGTGTATTAAAATTGTTTTAGGGTACGGCCAGCCATTAGTCCGTCTGTCCACTGCCTTCTAATTATTTTCTTTCCATTTTATCTTTAATCGAACATAACATTCTTAACACATTCATTCTCTCACCTCTTTCCACATTATTTTCGCTTCTACATTTCTCATCAACCTCCTTGGCTCTTTCAAATGCACGACCCGTCAGCCCCTGAAATAGAAGAGCGTATTTTATTCGTATGTTTAACGAAATCTACAGCTGAAAGGTGTATTCACGTTTATTTGTAAATTACACTGCAGTTATTAGTATACGGGGTAATATTATTATTAAGTGACCGCTACTTATAAATTTATGCATTCATTTATCACATTTCTTGAAGTCTATTTTACCAGGCGACGTGTTTCGGACATAATTAGTTCATATTCATACCACTGGCTATCTTATTTTGTCACAATAATATTAATTATAATGTAATAGTTTGCGAGGACAGTCAGTGACCTCAAGATGCCAGAATCAGATCAGCCCAGAACACTTTCTATGATTGACTGGTTAACCTCAGTACCTCAAACAAATGCTGGAATAGTGGACTACTTTGATATATTTCACAGCTCTCTGCTTAAGATCATTACGTAAAATTCGTAGTTATCTTCCAAACTTATCCGTTTATATGTATTATACGCAGTTTAAATAGCATTGTTAAACAACGTATAATGCCCAGTCAGCAGTAAAATAATTTTAAATGAATCCAGGATACAGAGAAATCCAATTCTCATAATTTTTTAGTTTATTATCGCAGTTAACGAGAAACGAACTTACTGAAGCGAGATCTGCCACTCCCAAAAGCAGCAAGATGGCTGACGCTAGTACACGTTCTGTGGTCTTCATTATGGTGACAAATGTTCGACTTGCAGTAGACCCCTAGGTCTATATACGGTATTATCAGCCTTGAGTTATCTCGTTCCTGGAAAATTATTTAAGATGCGACGGACTATTGTCCGCGTAAAACTCACGGGAAGGAAGTTGTAAGGCCGACGGAGGTGATCGAGTGGAAATCCTATATAACGAAGTTAATTACAGACATTTGATTCAGTACGAGCTTCGTCATGTTCAAATAACAAGTTACGAGAGCTTAATTAGTGACGTCCCTGCCTGTTGACATTCTGACTAACCTCGTGGATCAGAATCCTCCGTGAGACGCTGATAGTATCGTAGCTAGTCAATAACATTTTACGCCTCTCAAGAGACCCGAAGGGTACCGCATTCAAAATAGCCCGCTATTGGACCTTACTTTCAGCCAGATAAATCCATTCCACACTCTTCTCTGATAATGTAGGCAGTAAGTACCCCTGAAACATCGATAAACTATCAGACTGCACAGCGCAACATCCTAGAAACAGTCTGTTTACTCGCCGCAAAGGAAACGTCATATCTTATTTGTAAGATTAATTTTAATATTATCCTTCCATCTATGCTTGTGTCCCAGGCGATTTGTTTCCTGTAGATTTTCTGACTAAAATTTTATAAGCACTTTGTGTCTCTCCCATGCATATTAGGCCTAAATGCCCCTCACACTTCATACTCCGTGGTCGGATCATCCTGACAATATTTGAAGAGTGCAAATTATGAATCCTCTTGGAAGTTTTTATGTATACAATAGACAAGTGTTGGCTGCTAGATTGGCGATTTTTTTAAATCGCCAATCAGACTACAGGAAGTGTAGTAACATAAGCTTATCTCTTCAACATAAAATGTATTAATTGACTCTTACCTGTTTACGTTCTTAACAATCTTCTTATTGACCGTGTGTATATGTTTACCACGACTTCCAACGAAAAACATGGACGTGCGTTCTAGACTTTTCCGTACTGATTCAGTTCTTCTTCATAAACTGGTTGACAGAACAGCATTGATTCATAGATATTTGATTCTGTGTTACAAACTGATCGATGAATGTAGTATATAGTCTAGGTCAGTGGTATTCAACCTTTTTTGTTCGCGTACCCCCAGATATAATTTCTCTTCAACTTTGTACCCCCAAAGTTGTTGGTGTATAATTCAAGTGTATATAATCTACATCTAAAATAAATTAAATAAATTACATCACTGATTATTCAGTGTTTATCATAAAATAATATATTTTTTTAAAATTTCACGTACCCCTTAAGATTTCTTCGCGTACCCCAGGTTGAATACCACTGGTCTAAGGTACATGTTAAAAATCATGTTTGTTTGGTTGGTGGGTGATCATTTTCTCAAATTGATATTTTCAGTTATTGTAACCTCAAATATGTCTTGTTCTTGGATTTTTATTGCGGCTGGAGTTCAAGGTACGACTTCTGTTTTCGGGGATGAGCCACGTGTAATGTTTCGGCAAATGTTACAGTTTCCATCTTCAGGATAAAGATGTCAACTGCAATATTGTCGAATCTTTTATGGTTAATGATCTCGTATCTAGGGATAAATTCAAATTTAAGCCGGAAGACTGGGACGAAAGAGATAATTTGAGAGATCTAGGCTTAAATGGATCTTACAGAAATAGGGTGTGAGAATGCCGTTGATGTTTCTGTCTACTTTAGCACAGGCCACACTACGATTTCTTCAGTGTGTTTGCATGAATAAATTACAGTTCAGATGAAATAAAGTACAGACGATGCTTCAAAGACAGGAAGTGTTGAGGTTAGATTTCTATTAATCGTCAATTTTGATTTCTCTCCAAATGTGTTACCGTGTACGAGAATTTGTAATGCATACGTCATCGAACTGCGTTCTTTGCAGATATTACCCACATGCATATTCTGAGGGCTATTTCCCTTTCTACTATGCTTTGTTTATGATAAAAAGCGATTTGTGCTTCATACAAATTATAGGTTATATTGTAGAGATTAGGAAGAAAATTAAAATTGCGTAGTACAGAATTCTAATAAATTTAATTAAAATTCCTTGGTTATCTTAGTATATGAAACATGGGGGCATATGCATTGACAGTACATCCGCATCTACTTTTTTTTTTGTACATAACTCTTACGTTTATACTTTTTAAGCATTCGCAAATTCCCAGGTCCGGAGTATCTCTAGCCGAGGGCCATGATGTTGGTCGTAACGTTGCTTAGGCAGGATGGAAACATCCTCACAGTATTTGTACATTTGTGTTTCTGGAATAGAGCGAGAAGGAACCCGCTGTTGTACAACACATAAAGAAAACATTGCTGAATCCCTGCCATTAAGAGGGTTTATTGTGTGCATATAAAGAAATTACAGAATGAAGCAGAAGGACCAAGCAGTGGCGGCCGGTGTGTTTACGCTGTTCCGTTGGTATCGATAAGTCTCAGGTGCATCTCGAAAATGAATCCATTTCTGAAACACGAATTGTATGTATAATACAACAAGCATTCGGTAGCAGTTTATACCGGCCCGCCGAACACATACGTTAGAGAAGTTGCTTTCCTTGCAGGCACTGACTGTTCTCTACTCCCAAGCGATAAAGACGTCGCGTGTGAGGTGGTTTCACGGTGGTACCACCCTTCTATTCTGGGCTCTTCACACGGCAGTTTATATATTAAATTACATACAACCTGTGTATGAATGGTTAAATATTTCGACATTGACACGTTTTCATCTGCGACCTGTATTATCGTGAATGTAATAATTCAAATTATATATGTAACAAGTTTAAGAAGACTTAGTTAATTTAAGGACTTCATGGATTTCACTAGTCTGAGTACATAAAATTGCCGTCATAATGACGTCTTGTTGTATTTTATGTCCGTCTGTAAATATAGATCATGCATTTGACTCCATGGAGCAGAGCACTTGAGAAACTTTTGTCACTCAACTAGTCATGAAATGTTTCCCTTTTATGGAGCCCGAAGGTTCATTACTTTATTCTCGGGAACTCATCACTAATACCCTCCAACCCATTTCCCTAAGATCCATTTTAATATTATTCTCCCATCTACGCCTGTGTTTTCCGGGTAGTCTCTTCTGTTCAGACTTCGAATCAAAAATGATGTAGTCGTTTTTATAAAATGTACAACGTTACCTTTAATACGTAGATGCATGAACTACTACATTAATGTTCATGAAGAAGGGTGACCAACATTACCGTTGAATTACGATCGTACTAGACGAGTGAGGCGCTTGGAAGGTGATCTTTAGGAACGCGCAGACAACACGTTATCTAGTCCTTAAATACAGGGAATGAAGTAATATAGATGAAGTGTTTTTTGGGGGGGGGGATCGATAATTGACTCATAATTTGTACTGTTCTATAAATATTGTGGTGATGATAAAATTAAGGACGGTGAGATGGGCTAGCCTTGCAGAAAAAATGTGAAGGTTGGAAAGCTTAAAGAAACAGACCACTTGTAGACCTAGATGTAGATGGGAGGGCTACACTAAAATGAATCTGAAAGGGCTAATGTAAGGTGTGCACTGGATTCACTTGGCTCTTGTCAACACGGCAATGAACCTTCGTGTTCCATAAAAGCCGGAAAATCTCTTGTTCACTTGTTTTGCTGTCAGAATGAGTCAGTCGGTCAGTTAGTTGGTTACATTGCCTCACGTATTTCTTCTTTAAGCTGTTGCATCATTATCGTGCTATTTTTATATTGGGTTTGATGAAAAGGCAGTAATATTGTATGTCCAGTTACCGAGTGCGTAGTCTGTTATCTGATTAATTAAACTTACCACTCAGCCGAAGCAATGCCGTCCCAGTGATGCAATACGCGCCTGTACAGCTGAAAGGAAATATACGATTAAATAAATTTTCGCGGTGTTATCTTACAGAACTCACAAATAAATTGTGCAGTGCTCGAATTTTCGGCTGTATTACTGCTCAACACACACAAAAAAGTTTGTTGCTGTTAACCTTGATGCTAGTGGCAGTGATAAAACTTCGGAAGTGGCTAAACATAATGGTCTTACCTCAGGATTCGCATCGTGATAGCATTTGTGCAGTTGATATGCGGTGTCGCAAGCATCTGCTCCCTCTGAAACAGATAAACCCAAAATAAAAATGGTTTTCAAGATTTTTTTCCGAATAATTTTACCCTTTTCCTGTCTAGCTTATTTCGTAAGGAATTATCATATGCGAAAACGGCATAAGTCTATCTACGTGGATCGTTGTGGAAATAAATAAGCTTTAGTTCAATGTCACTCTCTGTAACGTAATTTGGAGTAATCCAAACAAATGCAACCCAATACAACCTATACATTCATGTTACTTAGCATGATGTAATCAAAAGGAAATTAAGAACAGCAAACATAGCTTTCGCTAAGAAATATTTCGTGTGTATAGATTGGATTGAATAATATTCTACACCGCGTAATGAAAAACCAACTTAATGAAAATGAATGCATTGATGTTATAATCTTATTTTTCTTTATGCCCATATCATTTTGTGTCCAGTTTCTTTGTAGGTAACTCACGTGTTCCTTTGCATACGCTGATGATTCTGTGTCCCTCCTCTACTATCTCTGGCGGAATATTACCCTTTTCTTCTTCGATGTCATACACCCCATCATGTGAGAGCTGGCAACATAATTTAGTAATTTAGTTTAAATATATTATTTCAATATCTGAATCACTCCTAAGTAAAAACATGCATACTTTTTACATTTGTACGCATGTCAGCATACATGTTTTCGAATCAACATGTAGTCCTGTATGTATTACAGTGAGGATAATTGGCGGCTGTGCCGCTAGTATTAGGAAAAGCGGATTCCGACGCAGTGATCGCCTATAGCAGAAAGACCGTGCCGTACCGCCAGCACAGCTAAGAAGTATCCTCTCCGTAAATTATGAACCCTGTATTGTCACAGTTCAGGCGCCGGGCATTTGTGAAAGTTGTGACATTTTGAGCGGTAATTTGCAAGTGAGCTCAAAATACTTACGGAGTCGAGTTCGACCATCAAGCACTTCAGGTAGCACTGAAAAGAGTAAAGAAATGCATATCAGTGTTTCTTACAAAATAATTTGTAATTAATGTAACAAAACGATCAGTTATTACAAAAATGTCCGCTGTTCACTGTCGCCATTTTAGAAATTACACGTAGAATTTTGTAGGCCTCTGAAACCCGGTAGGGCTACACCTATGAAATATCATGAC